CTTTTCTTGACCACAGTCTTTTTTCCAACCTATAGCTGATTATTGTGCTGATTTTTCAAGTAAACTTTTTATTTTCCTTGCAGTTTTATTACCTATGTAGGCATCCCTATACAATATAGTTTCATTTCACATGTTTCTGAATTTTTATATGAATGAAATCTTCCTGTAAGAGTGTTGACTTTTTTCACTCCGTATTATGGACGAGTTTTGGTAGGTAGCCTCCCAGAAGGTCTATGCTTTCACTTCTTAGTGTTTGTGGCCTCATGTAATTCCTACCCCTCAAGTAAATTGCTTCTAAACAACCAGATATTTGGCATTGAGTGATTGAGTTACAAAAGAGTATGACTTTCATTTAATGCCAACTCTCTCTCTCTGTCACTGGCTTTAATGAAGCCAGGTGCTATGTGGGAGTGATCCTGCAGCAAAAAACTGAGCACCATCTCCATTTAACAACCAGCAAGGAAGTGAGGGCCTCCTTCCTGTGGCCTGTGAGGAAATGAATCCTGCCAATGACCACATAAGTGCACTTGGAAGTGGATTCTTCCGCAGTCCAGACCTCAGATGAGCCCCCAGTGCCAGCCAGCACCTCAAGTGCAGCCTTGTGAAACCCCATGAAATGGAGAGCCTAGGTGGGCCATACATGGATCTTGATCCACAGTAACAGAGAAAACAAATGAGTGTCACTCTAAGCGGCTAAATTTTTGAGGAAATGTCACATAACTATAGATAACTGGTACAGATTTATCTAGGACCATGGCACACACAGGTGAGAAGGGAGGGATAGAAAGGTGCAGAGAAATAGAAATGCTACAATGTATATAGTCATAAGGTCACAAAGCCCAAGTAGCCATTCCCTGGGCGGGTCTGGGGCACTCTCTTTACCATGCTATTAAGGAATCATCAGGTACCACTGTCAGCAGCATCTTTGGGAAAGGAGTGTCTATTCTCTAAAGTTAGAGGTTGTGGTAGGGAACACTGTGACCAAACTATGCTCCCTCGGAATAATGGAGATGGTCACACCTCTGAGTGACAGAGTCCGTGTGGCAGCATTTAATTGTAAGAAATAATTATGTGATGGCCAATAAGGTTGGAATGACAAAGGGGGCAGAATGATATGTGACCCTCAGGGATCTATCAATATGGATATTAGAACATGATGTCCCTGATAACAGGATGTAAACTGCCAACTGAGTTACACCTTTACATAGGTGTGTGTGTGTGTGTGTGTGTGTGTGTGTGTGTGTGTGTAATTAAAAGAACATAACAAAAGAATTGATCCAATGGACTGTCATGATCCCTGATAAAGTTTGCAGAATCAAGGTATCCTGACCTCTAAAACCTGAAAATGAAAAAAACAGTCCTCCAAGATAAAGGGCTGCACAAGTATATATCATAGAATTTCTTTCATCCCTAATTCAAGGAATCTATGGTCATTGTTTCAGCTGAAGCTGGAATACTCATGTGTTTGCAGGCTGTTGGATGGGATCTGAGTTGAACTCACTGCTAGACACCTACAATCATTCATGGTCCTTATTTGAATTCTTGATGGAGATGTGAGAGTTAAAGGAGAAGTTTCCCCACTACCTTCATCCCAGTGATTCAATAGGGGGCATTTGTGCCGCCTTTTACCATAACTATAGTCTGTGTACATCTGGAGGTCTCAGCTCTAAGACAGGAAAGCTAACTGGAAGGCACAGGGCAGTGTTCTGTGTGGAATTTAATCTCTGGCTGCCACCTTATCCCTTTGGGCTTCTAGTGCCAAGAAATCAGGAGCTGTGGGGGCCACAAGGAATATGTTTAGCATTGAGATGATCTACTGGAGCATTCATGGTATTCCTTCCTATTCCCGGCATTAACTTCAGATGGGCAAGTAGTTGTAACCTAAAGAGGACATAGGAACCATGGGTTCAGGACTCTCAAGGATTGGGAACTTGGTCACTGTACCAGGCAAGTCAGGTAAAAGAGCAGAGAAGCCGCCCATTAACTCTCATCTTGTAGATTTTTATAGAAAGTCAGAAACCACACGGAACAAGGTTAATGAGAAATGCATAGACATGGGCAGAACTAGGGATATGTTTACAATATCCCACTCAGATGCTTTTTGCCATCATGCCCTCATCCACAAGGTAGTGTGAGTACTGACTAGGAGTGGCTCGCACTGATCACACACTGTCTGCAGGTCAGTGTCTCAGTCTTGGGGGTGGGGGACACCTGGAGTTCTTTCCTCTCCATCCTTTCCACTCACCAAATGAGTTTGAAAGGTAGTGATAAGTGACATAGGAGTATTAAGGCCCAACCCCTTTGCGATGAAGAGGAAGAAGTCTGTGGCACAGTACATACCCAGCATCTTGGGTCAGGATATCAGGGTTGAGCTGAACAGAAACCACACTTGTCTTAGCTTCGTTTAGTAGCCTGTGCTGACTCCCCTTTACACTGGATCTCCTGAGAGCATCTCCTTATATAGTACTTAGGAAAGAATACCAGTTTTAGGTGCTGGTGTTTTGAATGCAATATAGGAATCACATTGTACTGTGGTCCTCCTCAAGCATAGCCTCCTAGAGAGAGACATTTCCTAACCTGGTGACCTGTTTTACTCATGGGATTGTGTCCTGGCCTTCACGATATGTGGTCTTTCAGAATTGGACACAAGTAGTAGTCTAAAACTAAGTACACAAAGTGTAAGAAGAAACAGCCTCCTATAATAAGATTTAGTGGTTCAGTGGAGAGCTTGAGAACTGTCCCTGTCACCATGTGACCATTCATACCATATAGAAATGTTTGAGGGCACTGTTCTGGAGACTTGGAACTCTGGTATTAGGTTGACCTCAGGTTCAGACCCCAAAACAGAGGTTTGAGGCCAAGTAATGTAGCTGGGAGGTGATCCCAAGCAGTGCTCTAGGGAAACTCAGAAGTGATCCAGGGAAGGGATGGAAGGCAGTCCAGACTGATTTCCAGAGCAGGTGACACCTGTGGGCAGCCAGGTTTGTTCACTGCTATTGAGGCCCCTGGTCTCACACGCCTCACTCGAGGGGAAGGAGGCTAGAGCACTTATCCACCAAGTCCTGCCCATTGGGTGAGCACTTCTCCCAGAGACTTCCTTCCCTACTCTGCCCTTTGAGATATGATCCTTCATGGAGACTAGGACCTCCACAGAGAGGTCTAGGTGCTTGCCGTAAGCCACCATCGTATACTGTTAGCATGGGAAGTGCTGAAGTGATAGAAGTGACGATCTAGAAATCACCTGGTAAGATCTCCTCATTGTGCAGAGAGTAGAGGAACTTACAGCAAAGGATGACTAATCATGAAGGAAAAATAATGAGACAAAATTTCTTATATTTGTATGCCTGAAAAATTAAGTTTTATTTGAAATATAGAAACATCTCCATAAGAAAATCTGGTAGTAACATATATATCAGTTAGGATGACATGTTAACATCTATCAGAGAGAATACCACCTTTGTGCTGATTTGGGATGGAGATTGTAACAAGGGGGTAGGGGTATAGTGAGACAGTGGCAGAGGGAGGAGGGTATATTCCAAGTCCATCCAGTTGAAAATCAGTGGAAACTGAGGTTTTGCAGTTGGCCTCACATGATTCAGCTCCCAGTTGGACTACATGAAAGAGATTGGCTGATGAATAACAGTAGGGTGCAGGTCAGGGCACCTAGCAACAGCAAGAGCAACTAGAGCATGCAGAGTGGCGACAAGGATTCTAGCAACAGCTAGGGTGGCAGCAGCTGGACACACAGCAGGTGGGGCGGCAGCAGGTGGTCCTGCAGCAGGTGGTCTGGCAGCAGGTGGGGCGGCAGCAAGGCTGGCAGCAGCTGGAGCCACAGCAGCTGGGGAGGCAGCAGGTCTCCTGACCACAGCCCTGGTCAGAGCAGACGGATCCACAACAGGAGTTGACCATGGTGTCAGAGGGTGGAGGTTCTGGGTGGGTTTCCAGAAGAGTGTATGCCTTGAATCTTGAAGTCTTCTTGCTCCAGGCCCCCTTTTATACCCTGCTGAGGGCCCTCTTTCCTTGTTATTGTTTATCCTAATAAGCAAGCAATTGTTTAATTAGGTAATTACATTTTCCGAGTTGGATGGAAAACATTGTTTCCTGTGCCTGATTAGGATTTATCCCATTATGTCTCTCCCCTGTCACATCTTGGCTGTCTTCTTTTGGATGAATCATCTTGGCTCAGATTCCAAGCTGAATCCATTGAGTCTCTTTCCATCTGCTCTTTCCTCCTGAATCATCCTGGTAATTCTGTTCTTGTTGGCATCATCTATGTTAACAGATACAGAAGCTTCTTCCAGAGAGCAGATGTCATGTGAACCTTGACATGTAGTAGTCCAGGTTTCACTCTTCCTCGTCTATGGCTCTTATTGTGTCTACAATTTTTGCAGCATTTCTTATGGAAAAAAGATTTAGTCATAGGTTCAATCCAGGTGTAAGCAAATCTCAGAAGAATGGAATCTTAACCTGGGAAGTCAAGGTGAAATCCATCAGTGTGATTAGTTGTTAGGAGAAACAATTGTGGGCACATACAGAATTCTCAAGATACTCCGAACTATGTTCTAATCCCATTTCCTGGACTTGCTCTTTTTAAAGAACAAATATGTATCTGGAATGAACATATAGCCCTTCAGGAATCACCACCACTAGAATTGATAACAGAACTTAATGTATACAAAAAATTTATGTTTATATACAAAATAGAATGTACAGTATGGCCCCAATTATGTAAAAAAACATAGAAAATATTGCAATAATTATAAATATTAATTTTATTAACACTTACAAAAATTAAAAATGATATTAATAGTAATTATTTCCTGGTTGATGGACTTATGGAAACTGTTAATTTTCTCCTTAATAATTTTATCTTTTACTTTTCTTTGATGACTTATTTTTCTTTTGTGGAAGAAAGAAAGAAAGAGAGAAAGAGAGAAAGAGGGAGGGAGGGAGGAAGGAAGGGAGGGAAAGAAAGAAAACTTTGTCATGCAACTACACCACTACTTAGAGATCTCTAATGTGACCCTCTAGGACTGGTGGTTGGAAGATGCTGGTCAGGATGATGCTGTCAGGGAGGAAGAATTTCCATTTCCCTTTAAGGTCCTTCTAGCTGGACTAAGAAACAGATTGACAGGAACACCTGGGTGGCTCAGTCGGTTAAGCTTCTCACTCTTGGTTTCAGCTCAGGTCATGGTCTCAAGCCCCCCATGTTGGTTTCTGCACAGAATCCCACTGCTTGGTATTCAGTCTCTCTCGCTCTCTGCTCCTCCCCCACTTGTGCTGTCTTTGTCTTTCTCAAAATAAAAATAAAAATTTCTTTTAAAAAACAAAACAAATTGACATGAAACAGATTAACAGGAGAAAATCAATTTTAATAGCATCCATCTGGGGACATTGAAATTCCAAAGACTATGAGGCAGCATGATGCTTTTATGAGCTAGGGAGAATGGTGGGGGGTCTGAGGATACAAAGCAGAAAAAGGCCATTAGCAAGAAGGTGAGAGACATTTACAAAGCAAGGTTGCCCTACTATGCAGATAAGCTTCTTAGGTGGAGGGGAATCTCCATTAATAACTTCTTTTCTGATAAAAACAGGTCTTTGAAGGGGAGGTAAAGAGTTTCCTGAATCTGCTGGGTTTTGATTGGTTTCAACTCAACGTTCATGCCAAAGTGGCCCTTTTGGGGGCAGCCTACCCTCAGCACCTATACTTCTCAGTATCACCCAGGTCTCAGCTCAAATCATCCACTTCACAAGAGAAACCACCCCGACCTCACAATATGAAGAATTTCCCAGTTCCTCTCATCATACTGTACCCTTTGTTTTTCATTCATCTTCATAGCACTTACTTTATTTAAAATCACCATGTTCATTCTTGTGCTTATTGTCTGTGTTGTCCTCTAGAATATCAGCTCTTGGTATTACATTCTCAGTAGCTTGAATATTGTTATAGCATATAGTAAGCATTCAGTAAGTATTTGTTGAATAAATGAATAAATATAGCACATGGTTCCACTGGGGCAGGGTCATGTTATGTGTGTATACATATTTAAAGATAGAAATACTTGTGTAAACATGGGAAAAGGTCAAGAATGATATCTATCAATTTGATCTAGGGATGGAAGGAAAGTCATTAGGGAGAATTTTACTTTATACTTTATAATTTTTTTTTAATATTTTTATTTATTTCTAGGAGAGAGAGAGAGACAGCGTGAGCAGGGGACGGTCAGAGAGAGAGGGAGTCACAGACTGAAACAGGCTCCAGGCTCTGAGCTGACAGTCAGCACAGAGCCCGACACAGGGCTCGAACCCACGAACCGCGAGATCATGACCTAAGCGAAAATCAGATGCTTAACCGACTAAGCCACCCAGGCGCCCCTATACTTTATAATTTTATTAAGGTTGAAATTATTAGAGATACTTTTGCCTTCTTTTCAGTATTTTTCAAATAAAATCAAGTTTTAAAACAAACAGGAGATTTGACTTAGCCAAGAAACACATCTTATGAAGTATGGCTTCTTGTTCTGAGCCCTGCCAGATTTTGTGTGACCCTACTATGCATGGGGCAAGGCCTAATGATAACAAGCTGTTGATTCCCTGGTGCCCTTAGGATGTATGCCAAACTTGTCAACACCCTTCACACATCTACCTTTCTAACCTCATCTGCAGACACTCTCTCATCTTCCTCATTGCCCTAAGATCTAGTCCACACTTTTCAGATTCTACCCTTTGCAATTCTGTTCAAGGCCCTAGAAAACCTATTCCTTATTTTCTACCTAGCAAAAACCAAGCTCAAATGCCACTCTCTGATACCTTCTCTTACTCCTTCGAACAGTTATTTGGTGTTATTTCTTTGATATTCCCATAGAGTTTAATCCATCATGGCTACAGAGCAGCATCCATGTTGTTCTTGTTTGAATCATCCATATCCAGCAAAGTCCTTGACTTATAGTTGTAGATCTCAATAAAAGGTTTTGGAGCTTGAGAAAATATTAAAATCACGTTAAAGATCTTTTAAATTGTGTTATGATACTAAGTTATAAAATGTCTCCATACAAACAATATAATGAAGTTTCACTAATTAAAAATCAAGAAGGCAGACTGGCCTAATTTAGCTGGATAGAACTTTTAAAGTACTGCATTTAGGGGCACTTTTGGGTGGCACCTTTAAAGGGCTCAGTTGGTTAAGTCTCTGATTCTTGATTTCAGCTCAAGTCATGATCTCACACCCCATACTAGGCTCTGCGCTGACAGTGTGGAGCCTGCTTGGGATTCTGTGTCTCCCTCTCTCTCTCTGTCCTTCTCCTACTCACACTCTCCCTCTTTTTTAAAATAAATAAATAAATAAAAACTTTAAAAATACTGCCTTTTAGCTTCTTTCTAATACATTAAAAGCATAATTAATAATCATAGTTAAAGAATGCTTCTAAGTGATAGGTTTAAGGCATAGGTACAGAATAATATGATTCACTTGCAATTAGCATTAAGTAAGTCCACACTATGTTAAATATATCTTCTGTAATTAAATTCACTCTCTCAATTTGCCTTACAATCATTTTATGGAAGATGCCAAATTTCATGTGGGTGCAGGCCAGGAAAAATTAGCCTCCACATGTCGCTGATGGAATGTGTCCAAATCAGTGATATTTTATTGTGTGAATGTCATAGCAAGAGATTTAAAGGGTGTAGGAGACATTTAGGACATTGTCCTAATCCTTTTGTGATGATTCAGGTAATGTGTCAACTAGCTAATGGATTATTGCCCCAATACATGACACTCCCAGGAATGTATAATGTCCTTAGAATAGAATTACTTTCCTGAGAGCGAAAGCAAATTACTGATCCTATAGTCTTTAATGTTTAGAATGGGCACAGGATCATGTAGGGATTGTGTTGGAACCTAAAAAGCCCTAAGTGACTCACAGTTGGGATTACAGTAGCAGACCCATGTTTGCAGACAAGCTACATACTGGTTAGAAATGTTCTTCTTGGGGCATCTGGGTGACTCAGTTGGTTAAGCATCCAATTCTTGCTTTTGCCTCAGGTCCCAATCTCACAGTTTGTGAGTTCGAGCCCCGCCTTGGGCTGTACACTGCTAGTGAGGAGCCTGCTTTGGACTCTCTCTCTCCTCTCTTTGCCTATCCTTCGCTTGTACACTCTCACTCTCTGTCTCTCTCAAAACTTAAAAAAACTTTAAAAACTTTAAAACTTAAAAAAAAAGAAATGTAGGGGGGTGGTGGGTATGGAGGAGGGCTCTTGTTGGGATGAGCACTGGGTGTTATATGGAAACCAACTTGACAATAAACTATTTGTAAGAAAAAAATAAATTAAAAAAAAACTATGAAAGAAAAAAAAATAAAAGTAGATAAGTAAGTAAAAATAAAAATAAAAGAAATGTTCTTCTGGAAAGGTCTTTGTTGGATTTGGTAGAATCATAAAACTAGAGTCTTATAGATTGTCACTCACTGATATATTTAGCAAGCAGCAGTTGAAAGCTTCCCTACCTTGTTGCAGGTACTATGCATGAACATCCATGCTACTTGTTCTTTAAGACTCAAGTGTCATTATCTCCTCCAACAAATGCTTCTTGATACTCTCCACTCAAAATACCTTTCCCTCTTCTAATATTCTGGAGGTATTTTATAACCCCCAGGTCTAGCTTACAACATGGCCAAGAGCTAGCTCCAGGTACAAGTTTGTTAAATAAATCACATAGTCCCCACCTTTGAGAAACTCAGTGTGAATAGGGAAAGAGGTGAATAAACAGATAGCAGTCCAAAGAAAAATTCTTTATGGATAAACAAGTGCTATAGACTCTCTCAAGATAGGAGAAGTAACTGTCTAAAAGTGATGCAGAAAAGGGACATTAGACTTGGACTTCAAAGAGCAAAAGGGGACAGATGGAGAATGAA